CACGTTAACATTCGAAAAGGTCCAATTAGCAATGCTACATCCAATTTCATGCACGGTTTTCTCAATGCAGTAATTTCCACATTTTCAGTACCGTTCGCGTAGCACAGGAACATACTGTATAATCACTGAGCAACTCCGTAAAATATTTTTAGTTTTCTAAGAATACCACCATTCACTGCAGCGTAAAAAAATGTCAGCGCGGAACCTGGGTCCTGCGTCAGTCATAAACTCAACAAGATTAGCAACAAGGCGTTTCTTCCATCCGACACGAATCTGGGACAGACCCTCAGCAACTGAAATTTCTTCTGCCAGATCTTTAGCACTTGTCATTGCACCCTCAAAACCATTTTCTCCGAACGGGGGAAGATGCTTTCAAGCAATTAGCTTGCAACACCAATGAGCATCGTGCAGCTCTGCATTTGCCGTTTTGCAAGATTTATTTGGAAAAGCAAACCGTCTCACACGACTAAGAAGTTGAGGGATCCGTATGAGACAACTTTTGCTGCGTCATCCAGCAACCAAGTTGGCTACACTTACTATTGTAGTCTCCCTCAACATCAATAGCGCTGTTCTAACACCTTTGGTCTGGCATCTCACTTCCGTCACGCCCTGGTAGCATCAGACATACGACCTACGTCTGCAGTACGTCCTACAGATGTGAGAATATACTGCGGACGTCGGATGTCTTATGCTGCTTGGGCACTTTCTATCTTGCACTTCCATCTGGTGTCACACAGGGATTCCAACTTTTTTTTCTATCTTTATTATATTTTATTTATTTTGTCTCATTGGGGGCGGAACCACCAGAGGACACGGGATTACTACCGCCGGTCTTCCCTATTCAGCTCTTATTTTGATCGATTCGCATGGTCCAGTTTGACATCAAGGTCTGTCAATGGGAAATGTAGTCTGACAATAGTAGCATAACCTGCCAAGAGTTGCAATATACTGTGACTTGGATGACTACCCAGACCATCGCTTGACAGGACAATTCATGCCGAGAATGGTAGCAGAATCGTGTCTTGCTGAAGGGAGTATCTAGGGGAGTAGCTAGGACAGCAAGGAGTAGTGTGACGCAGATGTGGGAGAAGGAATGATGAGAGCTGGGCTGGCGTGGAGCAGCATCACAGCGTTCAAATATAAGAAATGAAAGGATATTGCGAATTCTTGGGGGGAGGGGGGGGGGGGGGGTCCCAAAAACCACAGAATTTAGGAATCATGAAAGAAACTATTCATGAATACGATTGGACAGAAAAAAATAATAAAAAAATTGCTAAAGAAAAGATTTGTAGATAAAAAAATAGTTTTTATGCTCTTTAGTTTCTAATGCAGAGTGTTATTACAATATTATAACTTTTATGAACAAATGAATTTCACAATAATTCCGAGTCTTTCGGGAAGCTCGTCAGATTTGGCTGAAAGTTGGAGCAGAGCACGAGGACATTGAGGCACGATTGAGGTAGAAAGGGCCCTGCCGATGGAAAGGAAAGTGATCCGGACGATGCATGAGTCAAGCCATACGATGCGGCAAGGCCATTGCCTAGGAGCAAGTAGATTCAGGAGAAATATGGCGGCGCTTACGGGCCCGACCCTCGACGATGTCCGTAACTTTTTACTTCTTCGTGGCGGTCGTGTCACAAACCAGGAACTCGTACGAGAGTACAAACACTACTTAACAAATCCTGCAACGCAGGGTGAGTCCATTTGTATCTGAGTCTCCGTGCAGGCCTAAAGTAAGGTTAACATTAACATGTATTCAGGATATGTTTAAGAATATGCAATGGGAAATCGTAGGCCCAGCCTATATTAGCCTAGGAATATGACTTTACTGGCAATGATTGAGGATTAGTAGGTATAGGCCTATGCTACATCAGGTGCTCAACAGGTATGTTTCATGTTGCAAGATGTACACTGTCGATTTGTTATGATTCGCCAACTTTAAGGCTAGTAGGCATATTTTTTAGCATTTCCGGTATTCATCCGTTGATATCATGAAGCCTAAAGTTAGGTCTTTATATCATTATAAGCCTAGGCCTATGATTTTACTAAGCATTGACATAATGTGAGCTTTTACATGCAAGTATTGCATGGTCACTGTAAGCATGGTCTTGAATCTGTATACTTGCTTGGAAGTTGTGTGCATGAGAAACTAGATCATTTTCCTTATGAGAACTTCAGAATTGAATTCTTCTGTATTTCATGGAGTACAGGGTGATTATGAAGTATCGCTCTTTAGACCATTTCTTCACAAAAGTTTAAAGGTGTAAGATATTGCTGTTGCTCTGGCATGTCAAGTGTTACATGGGGAATCTATTGCAACATTTGCTATATCTGGCTGCAGAAGTGTCATTGTATTATTTACCTATTACCTAGAATGCTATTGGAAAAGTTGTATAAGTATGTGGCTGAAACCGCTCCAGAATCTAGTGACCAGAATCTTGACCAGACTTGAACATACATTATGAAAATGACAGAGGTACAAAGGGCAGATACTGAAACTTTATATTAACCCTTTCAATGCTGAGTTTTTTCTTGAGGCAGTATCTCCCATGCAAGTATATTTCTGTCTTTTTTTCTGTTTTAAGAAAGATGGTACTAATTTGAATTATGTACATTCCTCTTAGAAGTGATGATAATAAATTGATGTCAGATGAACATCTGATGACTAGATTTTCTAACATTACACTGTAGACTGAAAATGGTACATGAAGTGGCAGATATATATACACATCAATAGCATTGAAAGGGTTAATGAGATGACTTCAATGCTAAATTTTCCATGGTGGCACCTATTTTGTTAAGATTTGACAAGTACAGCAAATAGGAAATGTTTGCACCCCTGACGGTGAAGATATTGTAATGCTGGAATTGCTTCCCTATGTGTCCCTTGTCATGTGTGCATTGGCACCATCATATGCCTTATAGTTCAGGTACTACAGCACTCTGTGGTGGGATACTTTCTAAATAATTACTCTATTCTCAATAGATGAATTTGGAAAAGCAGGTAACTACTTTTAATGAGGAAATTTTATTTTTCTACATTAAGATGTCATATTTTTGTGTTCATGGTAAAACTTAAGCCATGACTTTGTGCTTTTAGTAATTATTCCTTAGGATAGGAAGTCTTCCATTTTAAGCCCAAAAACCATATAGCAGTGTGTCCAGTTGTGTCCATAGATGTCATAGTTGCCATTACATAGATCTCAACCAGTAGAGAGAAAATTTGTAGAGGTTTGATGTAGTTGGTGCACTAGGTTAAGAGATTTAAGCCAAAAACTATTCATACACTCTGATGAGTTGGACTTGGAATGGAAATCTATTGAAGGGTTCACCGATGTCCATAGATAGAAAGTTAAAGATAGAAGTGATAGAAAGTTTATTGACGCAAGTTCAAAACATCCAAATCTTAAAGTTTGATCAGTACTATTTTGAAAAAATTGTATAAAATGAGGTGCTTTAAATGTCTACCTTGTCATTGAATGCACACTCAAACCTGAGAGCATAATTGTCTACTATTCATTATAGCATTTCTGGGGGGATGTTTTAAATTTTATCTAAAAGTGGATTCTTTTAACTTCACAAGACTTTGTGGATGTTCTTGAAACACATAGTCTTTAATTCATTCACTGCTGAACCTTTAAAACAAGATAATTGCAAGATTGCTGGTGTTTTTATGTGTCTGCTAAAATGTGTGCAATGTTTAAGAAAAAAATTTACAGGAATAAATTTATTAGAGCTATAAATCTGAAATGTTTAGTAATTACTCAGTAGACTTTAAGGGTGTGATACTGAGTATTAAAGTTATTTTGATGCAATGACATTCCATGCAGAACACAGTAAATGAAGGTTTTATTTCTCTCATGCTGGATGCACCCTCAGGATTGCATTGTAAGTGTTTTGTCCTTTTCTCTGGGTGGGATATACCTGCACCACCTTCAACATCTTCACCCTGATAAGATGAGAAATCTGTGTCAAATTCTAGCTCAAAATCAATATCAGCTTCTGTAGCACTTCAAACATCCCCCCCTCTCATGTGTTTTGAGCATATGGCTGCAACTTGTGGGTCATCTATATAGGGCTGGTAAATGAAGTGTGTGATCGTGAGGTAACTGGAGGGGTGGAAAAATATTAAACAGTATTGTGAGTGGCAGATAGTGTCTGAGAAGAACCCTGGATGACAACAACATCACTTTTCATGCCATTTCTGGGTGCTCTGTGGGGTTATATATGCATGACATTTCAAATTGACCTTGGTTGATGGCATTCTTAGAAGGAGTTGTGTAAGTCAACCATAGTCAACTTTGGCTGTGAATGTGTTAACATTTCCCCAAAGAAAGTAATTTAATTCAGATAAGTTTTTAAGAGTTATTCTCAAAGGCTAACTCATGAATTGGTTTTTTGAAACTCCATGTGATAGCAACCTGAATAGCCTGTGCATTTTTGAGTATGCAAACTGTATGTGGATGCTGAGTTACCTTTTCTTTTTATATCAATTTTGAAATATCTCACTAGTGTTAAATTTCTTTACTGTTTTCATTATTATAGGCTTAGTAGGCACATTTGAATTTATGAACTTTCTTACAAATTCTCTTTGAACAGTTTCAGGTGATTTTTTTTCAGCATACTGTATACCCACAAACACTTTCTTTCACTGTTAATCAATTATCACCCATGTTGTCATATACAACAAAAAATATGTGTATTACTTTGTCCAATAAAGACTCAAAAGAAAATAGCAATTTTTAAGCAAGATACAAAAATTGTTTACTGTATGATATTTTTCTGGTCACCCTGTAGCTCTCGTTGCGATGGATGAGAAAGTGGTAGAGAATGTGGAACATTTTTCAGAAGTCAGATATTCAGATAGTAGTTAGATTTTGCTACAGTTCATTGACAACTATTTTTTCTGGAGTTAGAGATCACCTATCTGCTATAAAATTTAGTTTCCATATTTCCCCCATATCTCTTAATTTTCTGGAATTTTTTGGAAAAGTCTTTTGATGTTTGTCAATTTGGATGGACAGATGAAGAATTTGACATTTTATAATCTTGCAGAAGATGCAAAAAGGAGATTCAAGGACATAGTAAATGCTGTGGCAACTACAAAGCTCATTGATGTATGTTTTGAATTTTTTAGGCTTACATTCCATGCTATAAATGTGATGAAAAATGTTCCTGAGTGATGGTGTCTCTCCTTAATCCCCTCAGGGAGAGAAGTTTGTGGTTCTAAAACGTCACCCTCGAGGGGGTGATCTTGAGGATGAAACATGTAGCATAAGCAGTGATGTGAGCAGTAGTTCAACTGCAAGTTCATCATCTTATCCTCAGCCTTATCCTCCAGCCCTTGCATATTTTCACCATCAAGGGCCATATCCTCCTATTTATCGGTCACCACCCCCGCTTCAGCTTCCTACTTCTCCCTTATCCAATCCTGGAACACCTGGCTTTTCTCCTAGACAACCTCCTCCATATAGACCTCCTCCTGGACCTCCTCCTGGACCCCCCCCAGGACCTCCTCCAGGACCCCCTCCAGGACCCCCTCCAGGATACAAAAAGCAGCTCCCACCTCCACCACTCCCACCTCCTGCCTCATCACATCAACCCCCTCCACCTTCTCCTCCCTCATCACATCAAGCCCCCCCACCTTCTCCTCCTGCTGTACCTCCCAGGAAAAAGCATCTTCAGTCAAGGAAGGAAAACTTGGCTCCCATCCCAATTGATTCCTTCAGACCTGTGAGTGTCATAAGATTCTGGGATTCTTCAATTCATAATTTGATCTATTCTGCATGATCCTCCTCGGCAAGCTCATCCTAACTTATGTAGACTAAAGGAAGAAAAAGGAGTCCCATCTCTGAGGTACCCTTTTGCTTCTGGCATATAATTTCTCCTTGTATGGATAATTTCAAGAAGTTACATGAGTTCATGGACAAAAAAAGAAAGGGAGCATTGATTGAGACACTCCTATCATAAACGTTTATCTTCAGAGGAATAGGCCTCTCTTATGATGGGAGGGAGGGATTAGCCTGAGTTCTGGATGGAGACTTGCTGATATGGTGTGAGTTATTATAATTGTTTACAAAGCCTAGATTTGTGCAGAAAGGACAAACCCATTAATACTAGAAAAAAAAACCTGCCACTCTGAGTGTTTTAAGGAATGGGTGGGCATGGAATGAAAGGCAAAAAAAGGCAGATCAGGTGGGAACTAGACCAGGATGCATGGGGTTGGCAAGACTGGGATTTAAGAGAATACAAGGAGTACATTCTCTCCTAGAACCTAGTTCCCACCCTAACAATCGATCATGAATGCATCAAGAAGAGATCAGTACAATAAATAAAATTTTAAAAATGAATATGCAGTATATGCTGCTTATTGTGATCACTGGTTATTGTCATCAGCTGGATAATATGGTGAAATATTGAAAATCAAAATCAATAGGTGGTGGCATTGAATCCCACTGCCGATTTTTTTATTTTTTCAATAAATTATTGATATCAAATTTTCTTGCAACATTATACTCACAATAAGCAGTGTCTACTGTATTGGGAAAAAAAACCTTTAATAATTTAATGAAAATTTTATGAGTCTTATTTCTTTATATCAAAGATTCAATATTTTTGCTAACAATGACTGTTATGGATGTTGATCTTTTAAAAGTAGTTTTCTTATTTTTGGTACTCACATTTTCTCTCATACTGCAGTGCAAGGCATATTATGTGATGTACATCTCTTATGTGATGTGGCAGGATGATGAAGAGGAGGAATTGTCTGTCAGTGTCAAGGAAAGAACTCAGAAATTTGACAAGATTGCATCAGAGAGTCAGCTGGGAATTGGGAAGTTGCCAGTGCCTGCTTATTATAGGAGGAGTCGTCCGGGAGAGAAGGTATGTGTCCAAGAATTGATCTGGAATGTCTAGTCATTGTGATGGGGAGGGGTGTTTGAGGGAGGGGCAGGCAGACAATTAATCCAGGCCTACAGGGAGCCACAAATTGGAGGGCACACTGCTAGCCTGATTCATGATGTTCACTCCTCCTATTAATCTTTATTAGAAGAGATGGAATGAATAAACTTCAGCAGGAGGCTAATCCCCACTGTGGTCTGTTTTTTCATTTCAAGGCTGCTGCTTCTGAAGATGATGACAATGCTTCTGTTGCAACTGTAAGTGGACACACTCAGTGTTTCATCTTGAATTAAAACAGCGAAATATTCATTGTTCCCAAGGACTGACATGATGCTTTATCTGATTAACAGTATGATCCACAAATGCGAGATTGGGTCATGCTATGTGCCAAGGGAGAATACCAAGGAATGGCACGGATGTTGCAAGACAACCCCAAATTGGCCTCTCATAAGGTGGGTTAATTAGGAGGGCATGTGGCATGTGCCAGGCCCTCTGTCACTTGAGACAGGTTAATGTGGCTCACACATTCCAAGCATGGCTCCAGGGGGCCTAGGGGGTTCTCATGTTTCACACCAAAGAGGGAGAGAGTCAGTGTAGGCCATACAAGGAGACAGTATTATGAAGAGAGTGGCAAGTAGACAAACCAGGAAATGAGTGTCAGTAAATCACTGCTTGTGTCTCTCTATTTTGCTTTTCTGTCCCTGGCACCCTTTCTCAGTCTTCAGATGAATCTCAAGGGTGATACAACTAGAAGGGAAGATGTCTGCTTCTCCTTATGAAGAATTATTATGAACAATTTTGTGGAGCAGCTTCTTGCTCTTAAGCAGAATCTTCTCTGATGAACTTGAAGAAGTTTCATCATGTTTTGGCAGTGTTGCATTTTTAGCTAAACTATGCAATCTGCTGGTAATTCAGAAGGGATGGAGTTATTTTCCTATAAATTGAAAATTTCCAATATCAAACAGTTAAAACTTATTTTCAGTTCTCTGACTATCTGAAAATAATTGTCATAAGAAGTGACCCATTATTACCTTTAGCTGTAAAATGTTGGAGATGCTATAATCATTTTTCATGTTTTAAATTTTCTTTCACAGGATTATCTGACGGTGAGTCTGCCTTTTGTCAGTGTGAGTCATAACTCCAGTCTGTAAGTCCCTACACAAAAAATACAAAGGCATTTGTATACCAGTAAGTTATTTCTGAAAATGTTATTGGCTTTTTTTTTTGAGGGTGGTGTTGTTTGACAAGATATCCATCATAATGATATTTTTATGCATGCTTCTTAGCTATTCAGTAGGTAACTTTGTGTTACTTACATTGTCTGCTAATCATCAACTAAAGAGTATCAGTTACACATGGTGTGCTTGTGATTGTGTTTGCTATTGCCAATCCCAGATGTTCATTGTGTATTAGGTAATAAGTTAACTTCATAATTTAACTTTAGTCACTTCTGCTTGTGCCCCCAGATATACTGCCTTCATGAACATCAAACTAGCTCTTAACCACTCAACATTAACGTTGGTGATCATTAAACGGTTGTGTTAGACTTGAGGCATAATAGCAATTAGTGTTTTGGAAATGTCTTGTTTCTCTGGTCATCAGATGGTATTGGGAATTGGTTTTCTCCTGTAGAGTCTATGAGATGATCCTGCCTTTTTGCGTAGGTTGCGCTGGACCATTGTATGGCATGCAATCATGGAAATGAGTCCGTATAACGTCAGCTGTAATTCGTGCATATAGCCGAGAACCCTGGTGCTTTGAGACACTGGTGTGGGTGGGCAAATGGAAGTCCAATCCATCTTGTTTAGCTGATACCTTCCAATGCATCAAGTCAGCTATCAAGCTGGAGAGGGGGATTTGAAATGCAGATACTTTACTCACTCCCCTCAGTGCATTAATTCTAGAAGAGACGGATGATTAATGTGTTACCTAGGACTCCCCTGGTGGAGTGGGGTTCCCCCTCCGATTATTTCTTCTCTCTTTCTTTCTGTCCATTCCATTTCCCTTCCTTCTCCCTATCTCTCTTGGTGGTGATTGAGGGGAAAGAGAGGGAATTTGCTGACCTGACACATATCTAATTCTCTAGAAAGCATGGATATGAATGAGATGCCTTGCATTCCATGCCTCCCTTCCTCCCTCTGCTCAGCATGACACCCGGCTTCCATCTGATAGTGATATACCCATCCCCTCTGCACGAGCTGAAGTGATTGTCGTGCTCTTATGCCGAAGCCTTTTCTTGTCGTTTTCGGCAAAGATTTAAAGCTGCCCCCTGTCCTTTGAATTGGATAAATACCAGTTCATGCAGAAGTATGTGCGTGACACGACTATTCGTGTGCGTGGTCGTGTTGTTCTACTGAAGGGGTAAGGTACTGTTGACAGTTTCGTTTGGTAACTGTTTATCAGGCTGGGCTGTTGGACAAACAATTCATTCCATTAGGATTGAGCCCTGAAGTTGCTTCTGTTGCAAGCAGTTCAACAACTTATCGAGGTATTACGGGATCAGTTGAGAGTAAAGCGGCGCACATTCAGAGAACACCTCTCCAGCGAGGTGCTTGAGATGCACCGTTGACCAGTGATGAAATGGAAACTGTCAGCCTAGATCTAAGAATGGTTGTTCTCTGTGGGCTTCAAAGAACAGGAAAAGTAAAAGAAAAAATTCTGCAGCTTTCAATTGTTGCCCTGAACTGTGAAACCGACAGGAATCACCTGTGGTCCTGAATAGTTCCGTAAACAATGCTTATGCATAGGGCTGTCATTAGATTAATTTACCGATTAATCGATTAAAGTATTAATCGCGATTAAAAAAATTAGTGGAAATTAATAGATTTTTAAATCTCCCCCTGAATGCCGCTTTTTCTCCTTATAATTTTACTGTGTAGTTTGTAGTTTTGCAAAACAACCGAAAAGAATGCTTTATCAAAGGAATGAAATGTAATGATGATTTATTGAAGGTAATCGTTTTCGCACTGCTTACTCTTTCTCAAATGACATTCTATTTTCGGGAAAAAGAACACAAAAAAGCCATCGCTTTCAGACTATTAAAAAAACAGAAGCTTCCTGGCCCCTTCGCATCCACAAGCGTACTGGTACGCATCCCGTGTCCTGCCTAGTATACGGCCTTTAAAGGCATTGCCTTGCAGGCCTCGCGCATCAAACTAAGGTAACAGCGGTCTAGGGCAGAGTGACCGAAAAGTCACTGGATGCGAATGGGGAAAAGAAAGTTGTAATGAAGAAGCTGCAAGAAAAAAGACAGAAGGAAGAAGGGAGTTGGGCAGGGGCATGGGACTGGAGAGGCAGGAAAGAGGATAATGTAAAGACTAGGGAGTGAGAGGCGTACGTGTAAGTGCACCGGCGAACGTCTGTGGGAGCCCCGAAAAGTAACCGAGAGAGGGAAAGCCGGGGGCAGGCGAGAGAAGTGGAAACGAAAGTGTGAAACCCTCTCCTATTCCTTGTTTACTCCTATTTTTGCCCTTCCATCCTGTATTGCCCATAGATCGTTAATGAATCATTAAATCTCCGTGTAATGAAGTGTTATGGTATACGTCCAATCATTTAGATTACAGTTTAGCATCCTTCCGTTATGGGTTGGCTAAATGGCAAAGGGCCTCATTGAGCTTCTTTGCTTACGTTTCATTATTTATCTGGCTAAGTTGTAATTATTTTCTTTCCGACTGGAATGTGTTACTTGTATGATGAACTAGTGTATGTATGGATAGTAACTGCTGTTAGCGACTGCATCGCCTTGAGTCACTTCCTGAGGCTCGCCTTGGTGTTGGGCATGACGCGAGCAGAATCATTCCCAACGCCTTGGACATGATTCAAGGAGGAGCCAGGGGATCGATTAAAATTCGATTAATCGACAGATTAATCGATTCCATTTTTTAATCGATTGACTTACTGACTGACTGACTGATTACTTTTGCATGCATGCATGCCTGATGCCTTTGATGGGAAGCTTCGATCAAAATATTGGGATAGTTACACCGCCAGGTCCCCATTAAAATAAATTTTTTAAGATCCGCAGGGCATACGATAACATATTGTGATATGAGTTACTGTGTAGGTTTATTGTAGAAACACTTGATAGAATTGTGCTTTTCTTTCTCTTCCATGGTTCTGACTCTCCTCTGGGAAAATTCGAATTTGCTACCATTCTCAACTCAGGGCGTAAGTCATAATTTTCCCCGCATCTTCATATTCGGTTACGATGTAGAGTTATGTGACTAGAGGCTAAGCTGAATCTGAATTGGTTGTTTTAATGTATTTTTCATGTGGCGGGCGATTCCTGATCCCTCTGCCTGTTCTCCTTTCTTCGATAGTATGTGAGTTGAAATTTTCATTATTCTTGTTTTCATTGAAAGTAGATACCATTCTTTGACGTAACTTTAGACATATGTAGACTTTTTATTCCTCTTTTTAGCTTAGCGATTTCATATTATTTGACTTTGTTGAGCACAAAATAATTAATATCGTTTGAAAGTGTCCTCCTTGACACGGAGACATGGAGCATGTGCTTCTGGGACATTTTCGTAGCTACCTAACCGTGCAGGCACTGGCCAAAGAGAAAGAAAGTTTGATTTCCCAACGCGTCTGACATTATCGGGTGTGGTGAAGTGCACCTCCGTAAAAGCAGTTGTGGGGGGATTGAGTAAGGAATGAGAAGACAGGGAAGGATCGGTCGTCCGTCTCTGTCCGGTCTGGTCCGTTTCTAGGATCCAGGGTCAAGGGAGTGACCCCTTCATGTCATTGTTCAACTCGGCTTCTTTCTCGCAGTTCACAGATAGGTCTTATCAAGTCTCCCGTCCCATTGTGTGAGGTAGAGAAGTCCTCCATTGTTCTCTCGTTGCTCTCAATCATCCCATCTCCCTCCCTGTCTCTCATTCCGGTCAGAGGGATGACCACTGTCCACGGCCATAGACGACAGAGACATTGAGAACCAAGAGAGAGGATGGGAAAGAAAAGGAAGGGAGCGAGACACGGAGGAAAAAGAAAAAAGAAAAAAAAGAAAAGAAATCCCAGGGATGGCAGTGTGTCGCCTGTCGGACGTCGGTCGCAGTCGGTCTGTCTATCCGTTCCGTGGACCTAATTCTCCGTGGAAAATGGACATTCGATGTCCCTGGTCAGAAGGGATGCTTCTAATGAGGCTCTGAGCCCCAGACATCCATCAATCAATTCCCCACGTGATTGGCTCCTGCCTGACCACGCCAAGAGACAGTCAGCATGCTTGTCTGGACTGGATCTGGATTCTGGATTCCCCTAGATGCCTGCGCGTTTCCTTCTCCCCCCTCTTGTTTAAAAATCCTTATCCTTAAAATCCCGGCACTGTTTCCCACTGTGAGAATTTGAAACAAACCAATACGCATCAATGCGCCCATGTCGATGTAGCGTGAGCTGACGGACGAGATGAAGGAGGCCATTGATTGGACTACACGCAGTTTAAATAACCTAATGACCTCTTGCGTGGTTGAGCCAGCATAAACAGGATTACGCGTGTCTAAGTGAGTTTCTTTTGTCATGCTTGACAAGTGTTGTCCGGGAGTCGGAACAGGCCAGGCATAGTCATTAAGTTGTCAGCAACCGCCAACATATGTAAGGCTGGCAGCCTCCTAATTCTCTCTCAGTGATCTCCACTTGTAAGTACATGAGGAGGGAGAGAGAGGCTTTTTTTGTGCACATGACCCCCTGCCTCTCCCCCTTGTCTGTTTCCTTTTCTCTTTTCCCCTCCTCCGCTTCTCATGTTTATTCACGCTTCCTCTTCCTGGTCAGAAAGAAAGTCCCCTTCATTCATCTGTCCATGACTCCATTCATTCATTCATTCACTCGGAGGCTGACTGTGAGCCCCTCCTTCTCATGATGAATATTTCTTCTTTCCACTGCAGTATCCTATCCATTGGGCTGCCAAGCACGGAGATTTGAATATGGTGAAACTCATAGCCGGAACCCACCGCGCAGACGTCAACGTGAGAACGGTAAGGAGAGTGTGTGAGTGTGAGTATGAATGTGTGACATGTACGAATGGGATGCAGCTGGTCTCCATTTTTCAATCTTTGTCCACTACTTCTCAGATTTGAGTGGCATGTAACAGCCGGCTTGATCCACGTTGGCAACGGCCTTGTCCCGTCATCTCGAAATCCTTTAAAATCCGGCTCTCCATCTTGGGAATATTTTTTTTCTTTCATCTCTTTCCCAGACTTTCCCTCCCACACCGGGGGTAAGAAGGCTATTGGGAGGGGATTTTCACCAGCACATTTCATGGAGGTGTTTTGGAGTTGACATCGCTTTAGTTTTCTGTGAAGAATGAAGAGCAGAAAGGTTTTCTTCGATTCTGATTCCAGTCAGTCTTCAGCTGAAATCCCTCTATTTCATTCCAGCTTCTGAGAATTTGTCATTCCTGGGCACGTTCGTGTTAGGAAAACTGTCTCTCCGCATTCCCTCCTTCCACTTCACGTTAATTGGCACCTCTGATGTCACTGTACTGCAGGTTGAGGGTAGCACATGTTAATAATCTGATACGCAGAAGCATTAAATCTACTAATTTTCTTTTCGTGGGATGGTTGATATTCATGCCATAACTAAATGCAAGAGAAGCCCGATCAATTAAGAAGTAGCTGCTATTTCAAAGTTTCATTGACGAATAATAATCAAATGATCTCAAAATTATTTCAGATTAGAAGTGATTTAATTACGTGAATGATGCGAAAATAGATTTTCAAAGCATTCTGAGCTTTCAGTTCATTTTCACATCCCATGCATTTGGTCGACACCAATTCAGTGTATGGAGAAAAAAACGAACCTGTTCCATTGTCAATGCCACGATTCGGTGCCCTGGAAATATGGGTACTGTGGAAATAGGGAATCAAGGGTTCGAATCAGGATCAGACTACTTTTGTGGTTTGGGTTCAATTTCAACTGATCGCATAAGGCATTTGGGGCTCGATGGAAAAGGTATCACTCGCCTATTGGCCACATGTGTAACATGGAACGAGTATAGACTGAGTATAGACAAACTAGCAATCCCGACCTGCTATTAGTGTTTGAAGAAATGGCTTAGCTCCTTCATGCTCTTTCTTCACTAGGAGCGGTATTGTGGGTTTTGTATTGTATTGTATGGTATTGTATTGTGTGAGGAGCGATCAGGATGATTAGGAAAGTAATTGAGCCCTCCCGCGAGGAAATAGTAGAATCGGCTTTGCTTTGTCTCAATCTGTATTGGATAAGGGAGATCTACTGAATTCGTTGACTTCTAGATAATGGAGATTTGGTAGCGTGGACTGGGAGAAGTTTTTCATCAGCCAATATGTTTGGTAACTAGAGGCAGGTCGAAGCCGATATTGGAAGTTATGCCTAGAATGCTCAGGGAAAAAAGGTTGGTCGTCAGTTCATCATACGCATCGCAAGCAGAAAAAGGAATTTAAGAAAAGCCGAGAGTGCTACTTTTGCTTCTTATTGGGAGCGAATATTTGGATAGAAGTATTATAGGACTTGTCATTAATTTTCCTTGGTTTTTTCTTTTCTCTGCGCGCTCCTCATACGACTGAGCGGAATGGTTGTGAGACGGAATTCTCTTGTAGGAGATAGAATGGAAAGCTCGCTGGAGAATGGACTAGAAAAGATTATGGTTATAACGCCAGTTTGTCTCTTGCGTTCCATAATAAAGCCAACTTGCCTTCACATTTGGCTTGGTTCGTTGTACCGGTATATGTTATCCCATATATATACAGGGTGGGGCAAAAGTTACTATACAGTTCTTGTATATTGAAAATAGCTGTTTTGGTAATTTGGTCCTCTTTGTTTCAGAGTAATACTGCTGGATGAAGCCGGTAGCTTTTGAAATTAAATTGCACGTTCATTTTTCTGTTATTTGTGTAATATTTGACCAATCTAAATGAAAGTCTCCAATGATGACTCAGCGATCTGATCATTCTTATACATGACCATTCGACTGTTTTCTTTAAGCAGGAAGATTCATTCATGGTAGGCACCAATACTGTCGCGCGATTCTGTGCCGCTCTTCATTTTTCTTTCGTCTCCCTTTCGTGCATGATGAGTAGTCAGAAAATGGTTGGAGAATACGACACAGGGGCTTCCTTGCAGATTGATTTTCCGACAAAATCGATTCGGCGGGGGAAATGGGCGAGAATATCTGCCGGTCATCAGGAGCAGGAAAGGACGATTTCATGCTTTTCGGTCCTACGCGTTTAGCATGCCTAAGTTATGTTCGAAGGTCGATAGTGACGTCATCTTTCTTATTCCTTCATTTCGCAGGTTTCGCTTGGTTTGGGAATAGACTCGACCAGAGAAACCTCCCATGGGTTTATTCTCTAAGTGGCATACTCGGAGATTAACTCTACGCTGCATGAATTAGGGAAATATTTTAAATATGTTCTCTTAATTCTAGGTTAACGCAACAAGCTTATGCTGGTTACGTTGAAACAATACTATCCATTGCCAGGAAACATTGTCAATGGTGGCCGTTTTGGCATGATAACGAGTATATTGCTTTGAGTCCATATCATGCATTATATGGTTTGAGTCACGTGGATAAGCTTAAATATTTCTTCCATACCGTAGATATGATGCACCTTGAAAAGGTGGATAGATATCTTTATCGTGAATTTCAATTTTTGTTTTCTGTCTCTCTTCCCCATGATCGGCTGACGGTGATGTTTTCTCCTCCTCCTCTGGACAACTTCTGCCATCTAACGGATAAGAATGGAGTGAGTTTCTCCTGCACTCTTATTTAAGAGGAGCGGTGAGATTTCCCCGTTGGGGTAATCTCACCGCTGCACTCTTCCTTTTTTTTTATACTTCACGATAGTTCAAGTTAGGATTTAAGTCGGGTCGCTTCATCTTATGAGCGCCATAAGGTGCGGGCCGTAATTTGACTGCCTATGCTTTAAGTCAGCAGTCATAATAGAATTGTATTCTCATGAGTAGTTGGGAAAAGAGTAACAAGCCTGTCGAGTGCACGATGGACTAGAACGGATTTACCAAGGCCTGCAGCTATGAGATGCCACAGCGAGATTTGATTGTCACTTGTGAAGGATAGTCGATTAAGCCCAGTGGCTATGAGGAAAATCCCCTGCGTATTAACGTGGGTCATGATTTCAAATCATGGAACTGATACTTCATTTTCGGAAATTAAGCATTCACTTTGGTTGATGTGGTGGTACTCTTACACCGGGTGATGCATAAGAAATACGCCACTCTTTGAAATTCTTTGGTGCTTATGTGATAGCAGATAGCAGAACAAAGTCATTTTCTTGTAGTTACTTAAATGTATTCAATGAACGCCCAAAAAATTTTCGTTTCTTTATCCCCACCCCCTTTTATCTCACCAATGATTTTACGAAATTAACATGAATTTTATTCTTGCGTTCGGCGCTAGAAAATCTACTGAACAGATCTCTCCGACCTCCCCCTAAACTTCTGGCGATTTGCAACTGTAACTTTTGCGTTCCTTGATTCTCATTTTGAGAAACAATAGCTTCTTCCTCGTAAGCACAGTTTTATTCTGTTTAATCTAATTTTGATCTAATGCTCCCTCTCTTCCCCCTCAGATTAACCAATCCTTTGCAGCCTGTGTGTCAATCAGTTAGCGATACATTCCTTTCATCCGTTGACAGGAAATTATTCCATTCTGTCTGCCTCCTCCTTCCATTTTTAAAATAACAGGATTTCACCACTGTTTCATCTTTCACCGAGAATACCATTTTCATGGACAGTCTGAGGAGTAATGGCCTGGAGCTGGTCGGAACTGTGTGTGGCAACCACTTTCCCTACAACACTTCTCAACGTGCAATAGTAACGAGGCGTCCCATGTCAGATCGGCCAAAATAATGCTCGACCAATTCGAAAAATATTTGTAAAAAAAAATCATGGTAATCAGCCCCACCCCTCCATCTTCTCTGAAACCAAGTCGCCCGAAAGATCCCCCAGGGACCCTGCTTGACCCACCTTCAAGCCCTTTTATTATTTATTTTATTATTTATTAATAATTTTCATCCAACTGATAGTTGTATCAGTTGCATGATAATTATTTCAACACAAAATTGAAGGGCTGAAAGGCAAAGTGGTCTATCTGCTAAAAATTATTTCCTGAAGCTCCACACGAAATGAGTGAATATTCCAGTGACCATCATGTTAAAAGTGAGAAAAAGTGGTATGTATTGATAGATCACTTCATCCTTTACTTAATTCCAAAAAACTATAATTTTCTATGAAAGGAACAAGGTCCTATGGGCACAAAACCCACGACACTTTTTTCGGACTTTTTTTTGCAGATTGACCACTTTACCTTTCAGCCCTTCATTCATCTTGAAACGCCATATTCAAATTTGAAAATGCAATGAATTTATCTCGTTGAAAGAAATAATGATTTTTCTACCGAGTTACAAAGTTTACCATATTTTCTCATTTGGGACTCCAAAATTTCCCTAGTAGAAAACTTGGGAACAACACCGAATTTAGGGTAATTTTTTACCCGTGTAAGACCTACAAACGTGCCGAGTTGTAACTTCTTCCGCTGAATCTTTTATTATTAAAAGTTTTGAAATTTGGCATTTTTGTGATATTCGACTTGGTATTTGACTATGTGGGGCATTAGGTAAAACTTCAACCGATGTGTTCTTGGAGAGCTTTAATGTGTGTTTACGAACGCTGTTCGTTTCAAATTGGCCCCATGTACGATTTTTTCTTTAAAGCAGGAATTATTAATGTGAATGCTACTTCCTGGGAGACCCAGAAAAAGCCATCCTTATTTTACATGACTGCAGATTGAAGACGGAATGAGATAATCACTAAAAATTATCAGGATTTACATACAACGCGTGTAGATGGTTTAAAGAAAATTTCAATTAAATTAGCGCTTCAGGTCCAGAGTAAAATATTTTTTTGTGAACAATGTCAAATGATCGAGTGTGCGCCTGTGAACCCTGCCTGAGGAGCAAGTACGAGCTTGCGTGGAGGAAGCAGTCAGGTCAGGCATACTGACACGTTCGCTCATTTAACATCGCGTGGAAGAGAAACTCTCACTTGGATTCTTGGGAACCGATTTCATTGAAATATAATGAAACCTCGTACCTCGTAGGATGTGTACATCTCCTATTGATATTTCTTGATATTTCTTCTGCGTCCACGTAAATTAAAGCTGTTTTGGGTCCCTGGATTACATCGTTTTAGGAAAAATTTCGCACAAAAAAAAGTTCATGGAACCAATTTGAAATAAACAGCGTTCGTAAGCACTCATTTAGACCTTTCCAAAAATGTATCGGTTGAATTTTTTAAATCAAATGTTCCACATGGTCTAATACTTGGTCGAATGTCACAAAAATGCGGGTTTTCAAAACTTTTAGTAAAAACAAATACTGGGATTAAGCGGAAGAAGTTGCAACTCAACAAATTCCTAGGTTTCACACAGGTCAACAATTACCCTAACTTTGGTGTGGTTCCCAAGTTTTCTATCGGGAAAATTTTTAGGGTCCTTAGAAAATAAGACAAACTTTGTAACTCAGTAGGAAATTCATAATTTCTTTTAAACGGATATTCAAATTTGGCTTTTCAAAATTAATGACTTTTGTGTCGATATCATTTTCATGCGAATGATAGTTAACGCAAGAAGAGAGTTTGAAGTTGAGTCAAAAAAGGTGTGGGCCTTTTGAGGGCTAGAATTTTTTTAACCGTGGTTTTCCATCGTTAGGATGGGCTGTGTTTTCCCCCCCAATTTTTTTCAAGTTGGTTGAGTTGACGTGTAGTAACCCTAATATTTACATATCTAAAGTTACTCGCGTGGTAAAATGTTTGGAGAGAAACGGACAATAATTTTAGGATGCTAAGGCCCGAATGCACAAATCTCATTTATGGGAGATAAAGTGGCCTTTTAGCTAAAGAGCTCTTTTTCTCTCATAGGAGTCCATGGATTCTTAAACGATCGTTAAGTAAATGTGGTTTGTGCATTCGGTCCTTAGTATTTAGGGACAAGTAATTGTAATACAAAAACCTTGTTGCGCTCTCGGCTCTCATAAATGCCGCGGAGTTTTGAAGAGTGGCGCAGTTATTTTAATGTCACATTCGGTATATAAATATAACTAGGCAAATAAAAATCTGTTGAAACGATTTTCATTGAAGCGAGGCTCGTGCAGCTGCCGTTAAGAGACAAGAATGATTTGCTAAATGTTTCATTAGTTTAATGGATTGTGCACTGATTGTTATTGGGGTGTTAGGAATGGCGTCTCATCGCCTGATAGTCCCTCTTGTCATGAGGTTTTAGGCGTTTGAGCTTAATCTATTATTCTGGGTTCTGACCAATCTTTATGATGGTGATGCTGAGCCTATAGCATCTCATCTTCATTCTGATTTGATTGGATGCAAATGAGGATTCCCTTCCCTCAGATGAGCCCATTTTCTTCCCTCCTTAATCATTCATTCATTAGTTTGCTTGCTCTACTCCCTGGTGGAGAAAGGGGAAGAATAGAACTTTTCTAATGAACTCACAGGGTCGGATTTGAAAGCTCCATTTTCCGGATCTATTTACAAGATGAGTATTGATGGGCTGTTGCTTCCCTTTCTTTCGCATTAATTCAGTTCTCTCTGTCTCTCTCTTTCTCTCTCCTCTTCCTTCCTTCTCCCCTCTAGGGTTATTCGCCACTTCATCTCGCTGCTCAGTTTGGCCGGGAAAAAGCCTATGATCTCCTCACCCAGACGTACGGTATGATGTCTTCTTCTATTCCCACATAAAAAAATTTTTTGGTCAAAGAAGCTTTGAATGGAACCTGTTTGGATTGATGCCGTGGAGTACAGGGGCTGATGCCAGTATGAGGGATTACCACGGGAAGAAGCCGCATCAGTACAAGGCTCGCATGGAATCGGAAGTATCGGCTGAGAAATTCCGCAGTGAGTCCTCATCCACTGAGGATCTCAGTGCTGGCAAGGGAACGCATGATGACACCATGTTCCCTACACAAAATCCCTCTCTCCCTTCTAACTTGCATGTTGAACAGACACAGGGAAATAGAACACTGGCTGCTCGTGTACGTGAAATTAATCCGAGGTCTCTCCAGGCAAGCTTTAGAAGGAGTATGCCACGCTTGCAGAAGAAAGCCAAACGGCTCGTGTCTAATGCTCAAAATCTAGTTTGATGCCTTTTTCAGATGCATGACATCCTTGTTCACTGCTATGTTTTATCGTTGTGAAGTAGATAATGCTGTGATGCACGCATATGGATTTAAAAAGGACGGCTTCTTTCAAATACAGGAGATTAAATGCCACCTTTTCACCTAGTTCTAATGAGTGCTGACGAGTACCCTGTGAATGTCGCTCTGCATGGGGCCTTCGCGTCTAGAGTCTTCTTTTTCATTTCTGTTTTCCGTGTTCTATTTGCAGAGTTAGTGGCAATAAAGCATGACATTTTTGTCGAGTCTCTTGTGACTCTTTTCTTACAACCTGGTTGCATGAAGCCTTCTCTGCATGGAGTGTGTTCCATCTTGCTCCAAAATGATTTGGAGAGAAACTACAGTAAATGATGCATGAGCATGAATGATAAGTGATTACATTTTCTTTTCCCTCTTTCAGTCACTGCATGGCTATACCCTCTAGGCATGTTTTTCCTTTCCTTTTCCAATGAGAAGTTAATAACTGATTTTTGGCATGGGACCTGTCCTTCGAAGGGTTAAGTGGTTTAGCTTCCAGAATACTTTATTGATTGGCTTCTCTGCTTTGTGGCAAGTAACTTCACATACCAGGAACAATATTCTGTTTCAATCCTACCATTATTTTTCTTGTAAATGGGTGATGATGTGAAGTAAAGTATAAAGTGAAGTCATATAGTGTATAAAGAACAACCAACATCAAAGGGCAATCCCTCGAGTGGAAATCACGGGCTTTACAGGATGTAGGCTGTCACCTTATATTTCTTTCTGTAGTAGTAGAAAAGATTGTTTTCGCCAAGACTTTCCTAATGGTATTTTAATAATGTAATGCTTATGCTGTTGGAACTTTTGCTGAATAGTGCAATTACCCCCTACCTACAAATGTTATAGGATTTTGATGTCTGCAGAATTCTGATTTAGGTTTGTTATAAAATTCACCAAAGGCTATTTATGCAGAATTTGATGGGGAAAAGAAATAATTGCATCTGGTTAGTGATGGTGCCATTGCTTTCCCATCATAGGTCATCTTTTGCATTGTGAAATAATGGAGTATCCTAAAAGTAATTCTCAGAAAGGTCCATTACATCTAATTAAATGCTATTCTTTGCACCTGCAAATAATTCACTCATGTATACCCTATCAAGGAGACATAAGTGCAAGTAGTCCATATATTGCATGTGACTTTTGCATGGTGAATGTGTTTCATTCCTGACTGCATGGTTCTGCTCTGCAGTGTCAGTGGATTCTCACATGCCTAGAATTCATGCCTTTAGTGTTGTGATCAATAGTTTGATGTTCTGAATTCATACAAAGGGCATTTATAAGGCTTTTTGAGAGATACATAGCTTTTGTCTGCTCTTTTGCAGAGGTTGTGAGCAGAAGACATTTACAGCAGTGTGGTAAGTTCCCTTCATCTCTTGCTATCAATGTTCATGGGAAAGTACCATGGACAACTGGGTTAGTGGCAATGATGGATGATCTGTAGTGTTCAAAGAGCAATACAGGATATTTAAAAAAAGGACCTAATTGACCAGCTATGGAGAGTATTAACCATCAAATGTTTAATTTTTTTAGGGTGGAATCCATAAAGTTTAAATTTATACTCATTGCCAAAAAAATATGACCATGAAAGAGCTGACTGATCCTGATGAAAATATGGTACACAAGTTTGTACTTGCCTACCATGTCATTAACCCTTTCAGACCTGGCATCCATTCCAATGGACATTGCATTTACATTGTGTCTATGGCAATTTCTTAGGATTCTCGTGACTTTGCGCTCCATATAACGCTACAATGGGTGCAATTATGCATGACTCAGTTCTATCAGAGGCCTTCTTTCACCCATAAGTTTTGTAATCTTCGGTTATTTAATTAAATGTTTAATATGTAATATATGGTATGATATGGTAAATTTATACAAAATATGAAAACAACATATAAAGCATGAAAATTTCAATTATAATCAAGAAAAATCTCAAAAATGCAAAAAATGATATTATTCCAATAGCGGCCTTAATTCAGGTCAGAAAGGGTTAATTGGAGTTTCAAAGGTGTGGTGTGATTATTTACAGAGAAAACTTGCTAACCACTCCAATTTCAATAGTGGCTGTAGGGTCTTACTAATTGTCTGAAACAATGATCTAGAAGGCTTTTATCAATGAAACGAGCCAGTAAAACTCCCAAGGATATGCAACAAAATCTAGCAAAGGTTCAAGGTCCTGAGATGAGGCAATGAAGAGAAAACTTGCTAAATTTCCAAGGCAAGAGGCTGGAACCATCAGAGATCCCCCCACTTCCTTTTATTTTTTTCCCTCAAGTCACTTCACTTTGGGGCTGTTGTTGAGAATCTAACTGTGAGGGAGGGCCAAGCTGAGATCTTTGGACACAATTTTAAGAAGTTGTGAGAGTGTTTGATAAATGTAGGGCTATTGGGATGCTTGCCATACATCCACATGATCCATGCCTCAGCCTAATGCCTGAAGCTGATGCATGCATCCCAATTAGATCACAGTTACACTTGTGGAATTATAGTTTTTCATGCAAAAAACTGAACATGAACCCCTTTACTGTATCCTATCATGTAATTACAAAGTGTAGAACATACATTGCAATTAAGTCATGGTAACTGTCTCTCTCAGGCTTGCTTTGACTTGTGTAAGCCACTTCTTCAATTTCTCCCACTGTCACATGCTGCCTTTTATATGATGCCATAGTGCTTCCAAAGGTGGTGATGCAATACAAAAACAAAGTACAAATGGTCAACAGTAGACTCTCAAAGGGCATGTCCTACTGAAAAATTCAGCTACAAAGCTGACCCATGAGCATGATGGACATATAAATCAAAACCCATTGTAGAACGGGCAATAAAAATCCTATGACATATATATCCCTCATACCCGCTTGACGGGTTAATGGAAATCCAGTACTCTCAGCCTACAGGGTGGCCCATAAATATTCATACCACATATAACATTCCTATTCCTGCAGCTCAAAAAAGACAAAGAATATTGCATTTGATACCTATATGCAAAGGTGGAAAAAGTTCTTCTGCTTCCCAGTAACCATGGTTTACCTTCCCAGTTTCCCAGTCACTGAAATTACTTCTCCTTTCCTTGCCTTCCTAATCGTTCCTTACCATTCCTGGTAACCTGGTTTACCAGGTTACAGAACTTTTTCCACCTCTGCCTATACAGGGCTAGTCAAAATGATTGCAGCGGTTTCAGAAAATTACTACAGGTTTATTATTTGACATATACTTACAAGATTGCACAGATATATAAACAAATAGTGAAAGTTTTTTTTAGTGTTTACAGAAACTCTATAATCGAGTTCTTCCCATACTCGATGCAGCATGGCTCTGTCAATGCGAGCAAACGCATTGGTGATGCGAACCCGCAGGTCTGGCAGATCAACTGGTACTGGTGGCACGAACACTGAGTCCTTTACGAAACCCCAAACAAAGAAGTCGCAGGGGGTTAAGTCAGGGGAGCGAGGAGCCCATGACATCAACTGAAGATCAGCATTCCCAACATGACCAATCCATCTGTTTGGAATCCTGGTGTTTAGGAAATTACGGACAGCTAGAGAAAAATGGGGTGGAGCACCGTCCTGCTGCAAGATGAAATCTTCACTGTCGGCTTCCAGTTGTGGCATGAGTACCAGTTGATCTGCCAGACCTGCGGGTTCGCATCACCATCCAGTTCAGCTCTGGTTGTATGATATTTTTCTTGTTATTATTCTGTTTAGGCTATCTGAATAATACTGAGCCATGCCAGTATGCATGGAACCGTTCAATTTGGTCTGACAGGCAGATTTATTAGCTAGGGATTTTGGTTTGCTTCAAATAAAAAAAAAAGTTTTGCTTGTCAAAACAGAGACAAACTAAATATTCACTTTTCATTGTTTAATGTTTTTTGAACAGAAAAAGATCCTCGTTTTCTACGAATTGGTTCAATCAACGTAAAGGTGAAAAAGACAGCTGAGGCCTTCAACCAACTCCTCACCAATACAAGCTTGAAGTCTTCCAGTACATCACAGACAAGGCTGTCCCATAAGCCTTGGGGATCAGCTGACAACATCCAGCAGGCAAGTGTTCTCTCAAGTGAGGTAATGAATGATTTATAGGGTCATTTAATACTTTCTAAATTAAGTGCTAGGTTCATTCTAGCCCTCTTTACCTATTATGGCAAGAAAGTGTTGGCATTGTCATCTTGGACTGTTTTTTTTTATTTTTTCCTCAAAGGTAATGATGGAAAAAGTAAACAGGTTCAGCTTCCTTCAATTAGAAGTTTTCTAGGTATGACTACTTTGGGGCAGAGTCTAGTCTATAATTAGAAAAAATACAGCCAAGCTTTGATTATTCTTAGTTTTTTATGTAATTATCTGTTTATGTAACTATCTGCTTCTGTGTTTATGTGGAGAGTGGAGTCTTGAGTAAACCACATTATGTGAAGAATATTGTGTTCATTGATACTTTTCTAGTATTTGTCATCTCCTAAATGAAGAAACATTTTCCCAATATGTAATATTTTGACTAGGGGAGGGTGGAGCACCATGGAACTTTATCTTTTTATATTTTTACTCCTAAGGATTTAGTTTGCTGCAAACTTCCCAAAATTGGATGATATATTGTTTGATATGTTCCTCAACATCTCCCATAAGATCTTAGCACAGTCTGAATTAATGTGATAAATTTTTTGCAAGTTTATGTTCAGATGGCCCATGGTACCCTGCCCCTGGGATGGGACACCAGGGACCATCTTGTTATGATCTATTTCATTGTATTTTGTATCTCTGGCATTGTAACATAGTTATTTGGGACTGCAAAGCATAATTTGTTCTTAGGAGGACTAAATATAGTTAACCCCTTGCTGCATTAATTTTTCTTTTGGCATGAAAAACTTATGTGAACAAAATTATATTCTACAGAGGTAGTGTTTCACTCAGTTTGTGAGAAGATAACTACATGTTACATGCAGATTGGGAGTTTTGTATCTGATATGCCACATTATGCATTTTGTTGAAATAGCTCTAACATCATGCAAATAACATGAATTTGATGATTTTATTATATTTGACCTAATACACTGAAGGGGTTAACTTTTCTCACTTTTGTGACCATTTATCCCTCTTTTCTTTGACCAGTTTTTTATTTTTTATTTTTTTACATCAAGAACACCAATGACTGCAATTAAGTAACATTATGACTAATGCTTGATGGGGCACTATGTACCCTCATGGTGCCCAACTTGGGCACCATGGGGGTACATAGTGCCCCACAACATTTTTTTTGCAATTCCTTGCATGGCAAGAAAACTAAGGTCATAATAGAAAGTGCATCACATCAAACTTTAGCTTAATAACAAGACAACAAGATATTCTAGTTGCAGAAAAACGGTCTGTAAGCTTTTGCCTTACCTAAATTGTTAAAAAGAATTTAAGTAAACTTATTTAATCTTTTTTATTATTAAACAAATGACATGAGTGCATGAATGGACTTGCACTGGTTTTAAGAGGTATGCATTTTGAGTTTCATGACATCACCTTTGATTCTCAAGGAGATGGTCCTTGGTGTCCCACCCTCATCTACTCGTGTTTCCTGTTTGCATTCCTAGAGAACAATAATTTTTATATAGGAGTGTTCAGACAGAAGCTTCTCTAGAAATGGTTCATTTTTAACCTTTTTAACATTTTTAGGATCGATTTAAAGTCAACCTGGGTGCATATTTATGACAACTTAGCTATAAACGTCCTGAAAATGTAGCATTTTCAGAATTTCAGCACCTCAGGTCTTCAAAGTAGGAGAGTGAACAGTAGCTGCTTCAAGAGAGACTTATGCCTGAGCACTTGATAATAAAATTTATTTTCCTTGAAACCAGGCAGCAACAAAAAAAGGTAATGAAATTTTTGAAAATTTTGCAAAAAACTTCATTTAGGGACTGCAAGTATCTGAAAAATATCAATGAACATGATATTCTTTACATGCCATGGTTTTTTGAGTATGCTTTCCAATAAAACCAGTCCCTCAAAAGTTATGGGTGGTCAAAGTTTTGCTGATATTACTGGATTTGCCTATGTCCCAGATTTCATAAATTCAGTCATTGAAAACTGCTAGTTTTACTAAGAAGGTAAAATTTTCGCTGCATGTTTTTTTTAAATAATAGATTAGGGGGAAAAAATATTTAAAAAAGTCCAAGATGATAGTGCCACAGCTGATTGAGTATATTGGGCTGGAATGATCTGTGCTCAGTTTGGAATTTATGAGTTTGTTAGTTTCATAACATTATTAACCATAAATGGTTTATTCATCTAGATTGATCTGCGTCTAATGCCTCCTCCTGATTCTAAATATGCACCACTCAAGAGGAGAAAACGAACTGATAGAAAAGTGGAGCTAAATGAGAGGTATTCAAGTCCACCCATTGAACAAAGAAGCAGCATGAGTGAATCTGATTCAGATGGTGCCTGTGGTTTTGGGCCAGACTGGCATGCAGAATTGGAAAACTGAGTCACCTTGCTCATGAGAGCACAGTATATGCATAGAATGATAAAATGCAATTGTTGGACACCATCTCTCAGACTTCTTAATTGCATTTATTTTGCTGAAGCATCTTACACTCCTTGTTATCCTTGTGAGCAGTTGGGAAATTTTTTATGGGGAGGGTATCATGAGATATGAAGGGGTAGCATGATGTAAAGTCATGTTAGCTGCATTATTTTATGTTTGAGCTTTTTAAGATCACTGCAAAAGGTAATTTTTCTGGTAATGCAATATGTGTGCAGCACTGCTGGATACCAAGTGCATTTTATTCTAATTGACTGAAGAAATGCCTATGTGTTTTCCCTACATTTGGCAGAACCCTATTTCCAATATCCACTGATTGATCTTGATTCATTTCCTATGCTCAAAAAAATGTTTTCCTGTTATTGATGGGACCAATGAATTGCCATCAGCATTCCTAAACATTGTGTTGGTATTCTTAGTAAGCTACCTACAATGTGATTTTTATGGCTGACAGCTGTGACCAGTTGCCATTTTCAAGTAATATTTTGACATCCCTGTTGCATAGTTCCATAATTTGAAAAATTGATCAACTGCATTTTTTAACGTTCATTCGTGTTTTGGTCTGATATTTCAGGAATTAAAAAAATTTCTTATCTCTATGACCACACTCCATCCCACTATAAGCTGTGAATGTCAGAGCAGACAATTAATATGGGCCAGTGGTTATAGGTGTGGGATACAGTTGTTGCATGGTCTTAAATTATGAACCTCTACTTCATCACAACTTATGGATGATGATAGCTACTCTCATTCTTCATCCATTTCATGTGCAATATCAGTCTTCTCTTTGTGGCATTAAAATGAATTTTTATTCTGTCTCTCTCTTCATGCCCAGTTAGGCATAGGGACTGAAAATAATTTAAAATTATTTTATGCATATTTCTTCCATCAATTTATTCATAAGGCGCTTTGCCTGAAGCAGAGGATCCACCCAAATATGTTATGCTTGGTGCTAACCAAGGCAACCAAGTAGCTGTTCTGTTGCAGTTCATGAGATAAATATTGAAATTAGAGGTTGATTGGTATATTGGCAAACATAATTTTTTGCTAGAAGAACCAAGAAAAACATGCAGTAAATAGTTTGTGACTGAAAGGTTAAAGTAAGGTTGCATTAGATTTATTTTCTACCATCAATTGCCTATGTAAATGCCTCCTTTAATGCATGCTTATTGAAAATATTTTTAAAGCCATTTCCTGAAGGCAGTGTTAGCAGTTTAAAATTTGGATGTTAAAATTTCAGCTAAACTGTATATGCAAAAGAAGCACTTAGGTGTGTCTCACAGATAATCAGTTTCTTAAGGATCAGAATAGTTGCCTCAGAAGGTTTTCTTTTCTTTCTGCTTAATTTAGTCCCTGCCTCTGCTTCCATTCCCCAACCAACATATTTGAGAGGATTTTACTCTACCACATTTGCAAACTAGAATAACAGCAGTCTTGCTCTGTGCCAAAAATGCCATTGCCAAATGTCCAACTTTTCAGATCACAAAATATCTAATGGATCCCATCAAAATAACTAAATTTTATAGTAAACTAATGCCATCTCTAACCATCCTTAAGAATAAGAATTATTTGTTGGTGTGGGCTTCAGGTGCTGCAACATATTTTTCAGCTTACCACTATGTAGTGAAGTATAGAACAATGTGAGGCCAATGCCAGTTCCACTCCCCTTGGGTCATGGATGCTCTTTGGACCTGTAACAACAATTTCCTTAACATTTGAGGCGACTAGTTATGATGCTGGACAGCTGTAATTATTACATTGCCTACTTTTACTTGACTGAAAATGAAAATGGACAAATTGATTGTATTATTATTCTTAATTACAGATATTCTGCTGAATTATGCTACATTGATTCTCTCTCACCATGGAAACTGTGCCATCTAATTTTAAAAAAATTAAATTTTTCACACAGAAGAGGTACTGACAGAATCTCAGGCATTCACTTAGAGTTGATATGTGGTGGTTTTTATTTTTATTTTTTAAGGACATATATTGTTGTGACAAGATGCCAAGTCATTGTGCTTGCCAGACCATTTTTATCAACACATATTTTTCTCATGCATCTTTCTGAATGATATCAGTATCTCCATTCTATGCAGTTTTGTGCTCTGTGTAAATGTGATATTTGTGAGATCTTCTGATTACAGTGATATGGATTCAATAGTTTTTCCATGACTTATTGGTCACATTTCATGATGTTATTTTTTTGTTTATATATGAATATACATGATTGTATACCTCACATGTTTTGTCTGAATGCATCCTAAATCAATGGTCGGCAACAGACGGCCCTTGGGCCAGATCTAGCGAAGGCTTGGCTATCTCAGGGTGAAAATCTCTGTGAAAGTTGCACTTTTCACACAGTTTCACACAGAGCACGCTCTGCGCTCTGATGGATGAGGCAAGTGCAGGGTTTTCGCCTTTGGTGCTACTACAGAGTCGCGATGACAACCCCTTTTGTTTTTCAGCTATGGAAGGTACTCCGTGTCACCAGGAGATAATTTTTGTTAAGAGAGAGTCCATACTGGGAAAATAAATGATCTGTTCGAAGATGACATCACAGGTGAGGTAGTTTTCTAAAGGTATCACTCAATCCCAGGAGCTCTTAGAAAACATTCCCGTCAAAGTATCTCACGTACGCACAGAGTTGGGCGATGTCGGTGTTATCTGTAGACTCGTCAACAATCAAGGATATGAAATATGCGCCCTTCAGGCCGTCCTAGGCAACGCAGAGGACTTCTTCTCCCAGGATATTAGCACGGCGAGTAATCGTCCTGGCGGACAGAAGCGTTCTGAGTAGTGGCTTTCCTTTTGTCGTCTGTTGGAACCTCTTCTATAGTTGCCAACACACACTCCACTGTTTCACCTACGAAGGGCTTTTTCTTTCGGGACAGAATCCAGGCCACTTTCAATGAGGTAGCAGTAGCCTTTTCTTGCTGACTAGCAGATCCAGTGAGTATGTTACTGTCACGAGTATTCCTGGCAAGCAACAAGTCTATCTTCTTTCGCCGAGCTTCCGAGTCTAGAGGATACGAGCCATTGAAGTTCATCGTGGTTAATCTGGAAGTGACGCCTCAAGTTGTATTCTTTGGGCACGGAAACGTTATCGTTACTAATTAAGCACATAGGTTTCGCATTCACGATGCTGGGCAAGATGAACAAATACTTATCAGTTCATTCTTACCGGAAAGAAGAATTTTCTTCGTCCACATCTCGCTTTTTCAAATCTGGTTTCGAGGAAGACATTGCTATTAACCCATTAATGCATGATGTAGCAGACACGCTACATTCCAAATTAAAAAATTTAGAATGCGTAGGTAGCGAGTTGTAGAGGTAAGTCGGTTTATAGCAGATGTACGACAGCCCAGTCCTTGTACCTAGTACCCCAGCAGTCGCTAAGTGTCCTACACTCCAAGTGGCAAGCAAATTAAAAACATTTGGCTTCGTCGTGTGACAGACTGAAGTTGTTGGTGCAATTATTTTCAACTTTACGCTAATCCAGGGTCCAGGTTTATCCGTATTTTTTAATTTTCTTTTTCGTTAAGGTATGTACGAATGTTGACTGACCGACTGAGCTCTCCAGCCTCCATGCAGCATGGGTTAGAAAGCTGAAAATGATGTTTATGGCAAATGCGCTACAATAATATTTTCAGGGCTAATACTTAAAAATTTGAAGAATTAAAAATTTCCCCCACTTTCCCCGTGATTTAGGACGTAAGTGAAACATACCAATTTTTTTTCGCAGAATAAAATGTTTTAAAGGGTTACGCTGACGCAGAGCACAGGGAACGCATTACAACTGGGCGCAAAGCGCAGCGCAGCCAAATGATCGAATCGCACATTTCTGTATGACAGTAGACGTTTATTCTAAATGTTCTATATAATGACACTTGATAGGTGTTGCCATACGAACGTGCAGCATTCAACAATGAAATTCAGCTGCCGACCAATGTCCTAAATTTTATGCCAATGACCAGCAGTAATTTCTTGCTTAAGAAATGTTTTTGAGAGTGCAATTGAATGAAATAATGGTCTAAAAGGGTGCCAAGGGAAGACTAGGGTACAGTAAGGCAGTTTCTTAACCCTTTCAGACCCCGCGTCCATTCCAAAGGACATTGCATTTGCATTGTGTCTATGGCAATTTCTTGGAATTTTCGTGACTGCACCCCATATTACACTGCAATGGGCGCAATTATACAAGGCTCCATTCCATCGGAGGCCTTCTCTCACCCGTCAGTTTTGTAATCTTCAGTTATGTAATTACATGTACAGTATAATATATATGTTATGATATGGCACATTTATGCAAAATATAAAGACGATATATAGAACATAAAAATTTAAAGTAAAATAGGAAAAGAGTTCAAAAATGCAAAAAAAGTATATTATTCTGATAGTGGCCTTAATTCAGGTCTGAAAGGGTTAAATTTTTTTATTTTTTATTTATTCTCCTAACAGGAAAAGCTTTGTGAATCCAGGTAGTCCATAATTGGCTTATGGGCATTCCTGGCTATAAAAAATGTCAAGACTCTCTTCTTTCAAACCAACTGTTTTATGCTGAATTTTAAAGTTTGAAATGCAGTCAACAAGTTCCACTGTACCCCACCCCCTGAGCACAGTGGGAGAGGTGATTAGGTATTGTGTGACACTCCCTGGCTCCAATAAATAACAGTTTATGTTTAGTCTGTCCATTTGTATACCTTACTGCTTGCATTAAGCATGACATATTCTGATTGCGCTAACAAGGGTCACAGGCAGATACATCCAATCCGAAGGGTATGACTCATGATTTAGCAACACTTAAGTTATTTTGAGAAAACTGGGGGGGGATTTTTTTATTTCAAGGAACATAATAGCATGGGTTACAGTGTACAGTGGAACAGTTGAGGCATGTTTCAGTCCACCCCATATCCAACTGTCCCGACGTATCCCTAGCGTTCATTTTGAAATCTTCACAATATTCAAAATTTCCTCCATGTTCGTTATGCCGAGGCAAGTTATGGGCAATTATTGAAAAGCCGTTTGAGATTGAAAACGAACAAAATCTGGTATTAGTAGTGAAGCGGAGGAACGCTTTCGCGCTGTCGTTGCATTTCATCTAGGCCTCATTGAAGTTCATT